GGGGGGGGGGAGATTTCGAATCATACATTAAGATTTTTCAATACATGGCATATTTCTTCCTATTTCCAACAATTTAGTGCACGCCGCTCTTCTCTGTAATAATTTTTAATTAGCTGCAATTGCAATTAAGAACAATCTGCCCGACTTTTAAGTGCAAACTGCCTGACCAAGATATTATTGGCCCCAGACTCCCACCCTCCTCTCCTACTAGTTGTGGCTCAGACTAGGACTTAGCCTTTCCTGAGTGTCCAAAATCGTACTCTGGGGAACCCATACTGGGCTATAATCTTGCCCCCCCCCCCCCCCCCCCCACTGTGAAACGTTTAAAGTATGCACTGTCATCACCCCTCTAACAGATCATATATCATCCGCGTGAACACAAGACAAGCTACCCTGACAAACTTTGTTGAACAGCTCGATATGTGCTTGGCAATGGTTCTGGGAACAAATCTTGACTGATATTTTCCTGGTGGTTTGTCTAATGCTGTATATATACACATAGACCGATCAAGACGAACCCATCATTTGTCAAGACGAACTACGAACACATGGCTCCCCAGTATATGTTAAAATACGCCTTGGTTGATATGATTCATCACAAATATAAACGAGGCGAATAACTCACCCTGTCCCGCTGGACCCACTGGGAACATCTTCCTTCCCTCTGGCGTTCATCAACAACGGGTTATTCATGACAGGCGTGGATACGGGGGTTGCAGCATTCCCTAGAGGTGTTGAAGACGCTAGGGGGCTCATGAGTAATGGGGAATCCCGCAGTCTAGCAGGTATTGCAGTCACGGTTGTAGTTGTTCGTGTCCCGGATGGTGAAGGTCGTATCCCGGGGGGTTGGGATCCAGATAGAGACAGTAACTGACTTTCCGATTCTTTCTCCAAGAAACTCACAAATAATTCTGTGAAAGTCTGTAAAGAACAAAAGTTGAGTCATGAAATAATTAAGATAGTAAAAAAAAGAAACGGAACATTATGTAAGCAGCGTTATAGGGCAGCAGAAAGTGTTCCTCTTCACAAATGTTCACACTTATACGAGGAAGAAAGTTTGTTTATTGTTTATTGAGTTTTTCACTCATTGGTGAGCGAATTTGCCAACAGGCTATTGCCCAATTGACCTTTCCCCTTATGAATGAAATTGTGATCTAGACAAGCCTGGACAAAAATTTCATCACAGCTTGAAAGAGCATCACAAAATTAGTAATATACCGAAGTTTCGTTGCGAAATGTCGTAAAATGCGGATAATATGGCCTTGCGAAGTTTGCCGTATTCCAGTCATTTTGTATTACAAACGGGAAATTGATAATCTGATGATCAAACTGATTATCAATTTCCCATTTGTAATACAAAATGACTGAAAAACGGCAAACTTCGCAAGGCCATATTATCCGTATTTTACAACATTTCGCAACGAAACTTCGGAACATTACTAATTTTGTGATGCTCTTTCAAGCTGTGAATTTTTGTCCAGACTTGTCTAGATCAAAATTTCACTCAAAAGGGGAAAGGTCTACTGATAGGGGATCCGAGGTACCGGACGTCCTTGTCCAAGAAGACATGATAGTTTAACCATTCACCGATGTCAATGTAAAGTTTAAGGGACCCTGTGAAAGGGGCAATAAGCCCTGTAGGGATCACCAGTGATTTATGACAAAGCTAGTAAATAAATAAAATAAAGGTAGCTCTTTCTCCTCAATTATTTTAAGAGCTTGAGTAGAGGTCTCCCAGCTTGAAAGACAAGCATGGTGAGAACAACGCCACAAGAGCTGGTTAAAGGAGTAAGGAAATTAAACTACACCTCTCCATTCTATTTATTTGCGACCAAATACAAGACTACTACATAGAATGAAAAGAGTTTGAATAACTGCAGGTTGACCAACATCTGCTGCACGATATCGCTTCAGTGAAACCCAGTCATAGAATGTGAAAACATTTGTAACCATTTTTGAAAAAGGTTTTAGAAAATGTACCTTATCGTGTTGCTGGGACTGGTTGCTCCCCGAGAAGGAGAGAAGGCCTGAGAACCAGCCAGTGGCTTGAGGAGGTTGAGATCCTGTGCCAACCTTGTTGATTTCTTCCTCGGAGAAATTCAGGATGTGACCAAGGACGCCCACAACCTCAGAACGCTTGTGTTCAGACGTGTTGAAATACGCAAGCAACATGTTCTTCATCAATCCCCTAAAAATTCAATAAAAATGTTGACTACAAACTAATCTCGGACGGTCTGTTTAAAGGCATGGTTTACACTATCAAAGTTTCTGTGATCACAGTGAGAATTTTGCATCGGTAAATTCTAAATTTTGAAGGATTTGTAAGAAATGTTTGAGGAAACTGACTCTGTGTTTAACAACTTACTTCTCAATCTTGCCATCACTATTGCTCGTCAACTTCCGTAACTTGTCGTGACTCGATTGCAAATCTGATTCCAAATTTGACACTAAATTAGACAAAAATTGTTACAGATATGATCGTGTTATTGGGAATTCCCTGCAGATGAAGTTTTGATAAATTCTCAGTAATTATAGATCGTTTCACCTGTTAGTTTCAAGTTCTCAATTTCGTCTTCCTTCGACTTGAGATCTTCTCCCAATCTGTCTGCTTTGTTGAGTGCATCCGAAGCATTCTGTAGCAATTGCTACAAAGAGAATAATTGCAAAAGAGAAATGAAATGTGGCCTACAGTTTCGCTTGTTGGTCGAATCAGAAATGGCGTAGCCCTCAAGAAAAGTGAAAGGACTCACTCTATAAAGGCTGCTTTATCAAAATTTATGGCAGTCTAAATCTTCTTCAAAGATAAATTTACCGCTATACGACAGGTCATTCCTTCTATCCCGTAAAGGCTGATTTACACTGCACAACTTTTGCCTAAAACTGTCTTATGCAACCTGCTTACAACTTGAGTTGTACTGTGTAAATCAAGCACACAACTCGCTTACGTTGTCATAGGTGAGTTGTGTGTTTGTTTTACACAGTACAACTCAAGTTGTAAGCAGGTTGCATGTGACAGTTTTAGGCAAAAGTTGTGTAGTGTAAAACGCAGGGATGGATTTACTGGGGAGTCTAGCCCTGGCCAGAGGGGGGG